CTGTCCCTGTCCCCAGGCTGCTCCGTGCCTTGCACCCCTCCAGGGCCAGCCTCAGACACCCCCGAGCCCACCCAGCCCCCAGCCCTGCTAAGGCCACCACTGCCTGTGTCCCCAGGTGCCACATACACAGGGATGGGGGCTCCCCCCCGTCCCTGTTCCAGTGCCTGACCCCCTTTCCGTGATCCAACCTAAACCTCCCCTGCCACAACCTGAGGCTGTTTCCTCTTACCCAGTGCTCATTCCCGGCCTCCTCCCTTCCAGCCGAGTCAGGAATCGCTTTGTGTCTCTCCTGGCTTGGGAAGACACCGAGTCTGTGCCTCTCACATTCCATCTCCCATTTTTTCCCCTCCAGATGACTCTTCCACCAAAGTGGACGTGAAGGAGCCCTTCGAGGCGGATGCCAGCACTTTGTGAGTGCCCCATGGCCCCTGGAGCTGGGATTAACCTGGATCTGCTGCCATCAGCACACCAGGGAGCTCAGCTGAGCCTGGCCTGGCCTCGGGGGGGTTGGCACAGATCCTGCCCAGGCCTGGATTGTTCTGCCCTCAGCATTCCAGGGAGTGCTGTCCACAGCGAGCAGCCCCTGTGTCAGCACACCAGCTGGAGCTGGGAGAAAGGTTTTCCCCAAGAACTTGTTCTTTTGGAAACTTTCCCCTCCTGGGAACATGGACAGTGGTTGTGGGATGAAATCCTAACACAAACTGTTGGTTAGCATGGAGGGATGCTCTTGGAATAGCCAACACAGAGGGATACTCTAGCAATGTTTAACATGGAAGAATTAGGAGCCTTGTTGAAAATTGCACATTTAAGCCTAAAGTACAGGGTGTGGAATTTTCCCTGTGCTGTTCCCAACAAGGAAGCAGCTAGAGGGAAAAGTCTCCACACAGGGCTTCGATGTCACTGTCACCAAAGCGATGTTTGGTTCCCTAGGAGTCTTGGGGTGCCCTCAGGAGCTGATCCTTCCAGAATCATGGATATTCCTGGGCTGGGAGACACCCCAAGGATCAGAGTCCAACTCCTGGCCCTGCACAAGCCACCCAGAAATCCCAACAGGCCCAGGGGCTGGGGAGGACTCACCCCTGGCCGGTGTCAGTTCCTTTGCAGACACGCTGGAGGCAGGGGACACGTCCCCCTGTCCCCCTGGGGAGGACTCACCCCTGGCCGGTGTCAGTTCCTTTGCAGACACGCTGGAGGCAGGGGACACGTCCCCCTCGTCCTTCTCGGCACACCCGTCCCCACACGTGACCACGGCCAGCGAGAGCGAGCTCAGCACCACGGCCACCGAGCTGCTGCAGGACTACATGATGACGGTGGGCTTTGGGGCCGGCCATGGGGGAGCAGCTGGGCCTTCCCAGCCACGCTGGGCTCGCAGAGCCTGCTCCTGGGCTCATGGAATGGTTTGGGTGGGAAGGGGCTGTAAGGGTGATCCTTCCACTAGCCCAAGCCCGATCCAGCCTGGCCTGGGGCACTTCCATGGATCCAGGGGCAGCCACAGCTTCTCTGGGAAATCCATTCCAGTCCTTCACTCACCTCACAGCCAAGGATTTCTTCCCAGTATCCCATCTAAATCACTATTTTCCCAGTGGAAGCCATTCCCTGTGTGCTGTCCCTCCATGCCTTGTGCCCAGTCCCTCTCCAGCTCTCCTGGAGCCCCTTCAGGCCCTGCCAGGGGCTCTGAGCTCTCCCTGGATCCTTCTCCTCTCCAGGGGAACATTCCCAGTTCTCCCAGCCTGGCTCCAGAGCAGAGGGGCTCCAGCCCTGGAGCAGCTCCGGGGCCTCCTCTGGATCTCTGCTTCTCCCACAGGAGCATCCCCCTCTGTTTTCCCTTTCCCAGCCTCCCACTCCCCTCACGCCCTGAGACTCCACAAGTCACAGTCCCAGTGACCCCCAGAGCTCACCCCTTTTCCCGGGGGGTTCCTGGCCCTTGGGGTGGCATTCCCAGCCCCCCTTTCCCAGCAGCCACGAGGGCCGTGGTGCCACGGGGGCTGTGCTGTCCCCACAGCTGCGCACCAAGCTGTCCTCCCAGGAGATCCAGCAGTTCGCCATGCTGCTGCACGAGTACCGCAACGGCGCCTCCATCCACGAGTTCTGCATCAACCTCAAGCAGCTCTACGGGGACAGCAGGAAATTCCTGCTGCTGGGTGAGTCTGGAGCCAGGAGCCCAGAGATGGGGGCTGCCACTGAGGGGTGAAGGGCTGGGGGTGCCACCAGGAGAGGAGGAACATCCCAAAATCCATCTCTCCTCACTGCTGAGGGCAGCTGGTCCATCCAGCCCAGCTCATCCCACAGCTCCAGGCTCTCCTCAGAGCTGTTCCCTGCTCCCACCTGGCTGTGAAGCACCTGGGAACTTCTTCCTGACCTGAGAATCTCTCCCAAACCTAGAAACCTCCTACAGAGCCAGGGACTTCAATTTAGACCTGGAAATCTCCAGGCCAGGAAACTTCCTCCAGACCAGGGATATTTAAACAACCTGGCCTCTAATATCCCAGGAAAACAGGTCAGGAACTCAAAATCCTCCCAGGACAGTGAGCACACCTGGGGCCTCTCACCTGGCCTCTGAGATCCAAGGAAAAGGAGTCAGGAGTTTCCCCCAGGACAGGAGTAGTGTGTCTCACATGGGGACACCGAGGGGACAGGACAGATGTCCCTAATGGGACAAATTGTTGGGATAAGCTCAGCAAAGCCAAGCAAGATGCTGGGTGAGGAATTAGACTGTTTGGAGCTCAGAAAATCCCACTTGAGCCGGATTTTGCCCTCAGTGAGGGTGGCTGCAGCCTCAGGTGTGAATGGATGGGGGCTGGGGGGGTGACATCCAGGTGAGGAATGCCCACAGTCCCCATTCCCCAGTGCTCACCGTGCTGTGTCCCGGCTCAGGCCTGCGTCCCTTCATCCCCGAGAAGGACAGCCAGCACTTCGAGAACTTCCTGGAGACCATCGGGGTGAAGGACGGCCGCGGCATCATCACCGACAGCTTCGGGCGCTACCGGCGCTCCCTGGGCCCCGCCTCCGCCTCCAACGGCACCGGCGCCGCGGGCAGCTCGGACGAGCAGTCCGTGCCCTCGGAGGAGGACGAGTGGGACAGGATGATCTCCCACATCAGCAGCGACATCGAGGCCCTGGGCTGCAGCCTGGACCGGGATTCGTCCTGAGGGAGCTCGGGAATCGCGGCTGCTCCCGCCTGGAACTCGGGGCTGCCCTCGGGGGGGGACGCTGAGACACCCCCGGGGGGGAATGTGGGGCTGCCCCCGTGGGGACATGGAATGTGGAGCTGGTCCCAGGGGGATCCTGGGACGTGGAGCTGCCCCTGGAGGGACCCCAGAGCAGGGAGCTGTCCTCAGGGGGATCCCAGGACACAGAGGGGGACCCTGGAGCTGCCCTCGGAGGGGACATGGAGCACGGAGCTGCCCCTGGAGGGGCCCAAGAACACCAACCTGTGTCCTCGTGGAGATCCTGGAACATGGAGCAGCCCCTGGAGGGATGCTGGGGGATCTGGGGGCTCCAGCAGGATTCTGCACGGCCCCAGCCTCGTCACCAGCTCCAGGGGCTCCCTGCAGATCCTGGGGCTCCAGCTGGGACTTGGGGGAGAGATCTGGGTTTGGATTTTGGGGACAGGTCTCCCAAAGGGACAGATCTGCTCCTGAGCATCCCTGTCTGCTCCCGAGGGATGTCCTGAGTGTTGGGATCCATTCCAAGGATCCCAAGGGGCTGGATCTGCTCCCCCCCAGTTTACAGTTTGCACAGCGGGTCCCCCAGAGCTACCCCCCCCAAATGAAGTTTTACCACAATGTGAATTTTTCCACCCTCATCCATGGTATTGGAATATTCCTGAAGACATTCCAGCTCCCTCAGTCTGGGATTCCCCCACAGTCGCTGTCCCCCCTCCTCACTCACCTTGGGGGTCTTGCTGGGGACAGGAGCTTGGTGGGATCCCCAGAGCTGAGCCAGAGCCTTTCCCTTGACCTGCAACCCCAGTGGGGTCCCCAGTCACCCCACAGCCACGCCCAGGGGGCTCCGGGGGCTCCCCCCTCCTGGAGCCAGGTGCTGACTCAGCACTTTGGAGATCCGGCACATTCCAGAGGCCTCAGCCCCAAATCCCCAAAATCCAGCCCCCATAACCCCAGTGCACCCAGCCCTGTCCTCACTGGGGTGTCCCCCCCCTTCCCTCTGGAACTGAGGTGTCCCTGGAGCTGAGGCACCTCTGGGGACTCACCTGGGGGACACAGGGAGAGGCCTCCCACGGCCTCTCCCAACACCAACAAAACAGAGCAGGAGAGGGTCCCTGAGACATCTGGGATTTGGGGACCAGGAGTTCCCTCCCTCCCCTCCCAGCCCTTGGAGCTCAGGGGCTCCGTTCCCCTCCTGTGCCACCCCCCAAATCTGCAGGGGAGGGGGGTGTCCCTGATCCCCAGTGGTGCTGGGAGCACCCTGGGGTGCTGCCACCCCTCCCAAAACCTGTCCTTCCACCTTTCCCATCCCAGTTACACCCCCAGGCACTTTCCCCCACCCCCCTGCTGGAAAAAGGGCTCCCCAGCCCCCCAAAATCAGGCCTGGGAGGCGAGGTGCGATCCAAGGGGTGCAGGAGGCCTTTATTGAGCAGTCCAGAGGGCCAGGAGCAGGATGGGGGGCAGGAGGAAGGATTTGGGGGGAGCTCTGTGCATCTATACAGGGGGCCAGGACACCCCCGGCTGCTACATGGTCAGTTCCTGCAGGACAGAGCAGAGAGTCAGGAATTCTGAAGTCACCCCCAATTCCTGCTGGGGAGGGGGGTCACAGCCCCAGTTCCCCCTGGAAAAGGGGGTCCCAGCCCCCCACTCACCATGATGGCGTTGACGATGTCGTTGTTGTTGTGCCGCAGGGCCCGCACGGCTTTGGGCCGGGACACGTTGGCCTGGGCCATCACCAGCTCGATGTCCCGCACCTCCAGCCCTGTCTCATCCACCTGGGGAAGGGGGGACACAGCGCTGTGAACCCCCCATGGCACACCCCGAACACCGGAGACCCCCCTGCACCCCCTGCCAGGCCACAAAACCCTGACCCCCCCAGCTCAACATCCTGCACCTCCAGCCTCGTCCTGTCCACCGCAGTGGTCACAGCACAGGGGTCACCCCCCGGGGGGGTCTCAGAGCCCCCCAGCCCTCACCTCCTCCTCCTCCTCGCTCTCCTCCTTGATGGCCAGGGCAGGGGCAGCATCGGTCACCAGCGCCGAGTGCTCCAGGGGCACCTTGAACTTCTCAGCCGCTGCCTTGTGCACTTGCTGGGACAGGTCCTCGATCTGGGGGACACACGGGGTCACCAGGGCCACCCCCGAGGCAGGAACTGCCCCCCACAAAGCCCCCCCGAGCCCACCTTGGCCTCCCCGAAGACGATGTAGATGTCGGACGCGGGGCTCTTGAAGACGTCGGGTTTGGAGATGACGAACAGGATGTTCTTGGATTTGCGGATGGTGATGCGGGTGACGCCGTGGATCTGCCGCAGCCCCAGCTTGGACATGGCCTGGGGGACACAGAGTGAGCCCCTGCACCCTGGCAGGGCAGCCCGGGGGGGACGCAGACCCCCAGAACACCCCAAATCCCCAGGATAACAGGGAGCCAGAGATGGGGGTGGTGTCCCTCGGCATAGCCAGGGACCCTCTGAGTCCCGCCCCAGAGACACCCCCAGAGTGAGAACCTGCCCCTCCAACACCCCAGGAGTGACCCCCCTGTCCAAACCCAGGGATGGGACAGGACCCCAACCCTTAGGGGCACCCCCCCAACCCCAGGGACCCCCCAACCTTCCGGGCCTTCTTCTCGCTGCGGCTCTGCTTGGCTTTGCTGAGCGGTTCCTCTCCGGGGCCGAGGGCGTGGCCGAGGGGCACCTGCGAGAGGCGGGGTCAGCGGGGCCGCCACACCCCGGGGGTCCCCAGCACCCCCGACCCCCCCAATCCGCACCTGGGGCTGGGCAGGGGGCAGCTCCGAGCCCTCGGGCTCCTCCAGCTCCGGGATGGACTCGTCGTTGCTCTCGGACTCGTTCCCGGACCCTGCGCAAAGTGGGGGGGGGCCGTGAGAGGGGCTCCCCGGACCCCCCAAAGGTGGGGACACCCCACGGGACCCCCCCTCACCTCGGTGGTTGGGCTGGCAGCGCTGGGGGGCCGGGGGGGGCTGGGGGGCCTCAGCCTCGCTGGACGAGCTCGACTCCGACTGCAGAGACCCCCGGGGGGGGGCCCGGCCCCCTCCAGCCCCCGGGCCCCCTGCCCGGCCCCGGGGCTCCGGCTCCTTCTGCGGGGAGGGCTGGGGGGCTGGGAGGGCACAGGGGCTGAGCTGGGGGGGGTCCCCAAAACCCCTCTGGGGGCTCAGCCCCATCACCCACCCACCCTGGCACCTCCAGAGCCCCACACCCCATGGGAACGGGGGGGCTGAGCTGGTGGTGCCCCCCCCAAACCCCCCATGCAGCTGCACCCACCCAGGGACCCCCAAAGTCCCCCCACGGGCAGTGCCCACCCCAGCCCCACAGCCATGGGGGTTTGGGGGCTCTCTTACCTTCGAGGTGCTTCCTGGAGAGGGGCAGCCCCGGGGGGGTCTCCTGGCTGGGGGGGGGCCTGGGGGGGCTCAGGGAGGCGGGAGGAGGCACTTGGCTGAGTTTGGGGGGCGCAGGGCGGGGGGGCTCAGGAGGAGCCCCCGCAGCGGGCAGGGGGCTGGGTGCGACCCCTCCCATGGCCTCCTCTTCCTCCTGCTGCTCGGGGGGGGCCGCGGGGGGACTCGGGGGGACTTTGGCATCGGTGCCCCTTGCAGCGTGGCCGGGGGGCTCAGGGCCCGGCCGGGGGGCGGGGGGCTCCTGCAGGGCGGGGGGCAGGTCCCCCCCCGGCCCGGCCCCGCGCCCCGAAAAGGCACCGGGTGGTGGGAGCAGTTCGGGGGGGGCCGGGGGGGTCCCCACAAACACCTCCCGCTCCGAGGCCGTGAACTGCGGCGAGGGGGGCGCGGGGGCTGCATCCTCATGCTCTTCTTCCTCTTCCTCCTCCTCCTCGGGTTCTCCGGCGCTGCCCTCGGGGGCGGTGACAAAGCTGGAGTCGGTGCGGGGACGCGACGTGTCCGGCAGCTCCGGGGACAAATCCTTGGCCGAGGCGGTGGCCACGTCCCCCCTCTCCTCAGGGACATCCCCAGGGGGCTGTGACAGCGTCTCCTGGGCCGAGGGACACGGGGGGACAGCTGGGGACTCGGATTGGGCCACCCCGGCTGCCAGCGCCACGGGGGACACGGCCTGGGGAGGGGGACACGGGACAGGGACAGCGGCCGGGGGGATGGAGGTCACCGCCTCAGTGGTCACGGTGGCCGTCTCATCGCGGGGAGCTGGTGTCACCAATGTCACCGGTTTGGTGTCTGGGGTGTCCATCACACTTGGGGTCACTGGGGCAGCGTCCGGGGTGTCCATCAGGGCGGGTGTCACTGATGTCACTGAGTCAATGGCCACAGCATCCTTCAGGGTGGATGTCACTGGTGTCACCAGGACAGTGTCCACAACTTCCATCTTGTCCAGCAGGCTGGGTGTCACCGGTGTCACCAGGTCCGTGGCCGTGATATCCAGCTCCTGTGGTTGGCTTGGTGTCACCAGGCTGGTGGCCTCAGCATCCGACTCCTCT